GAGTGAGTGAGGAGTGGAGTGGGGGCAGAGCTGAGAGAAAAACTAATAATAAACCCATTGGGACAAAGGATTGACAAAAACTAATCCAGAAAAGGGGATAAGAATCCATAGTTCCTGGTTAAACCATATTTAAACACAATCCAGTCTGTGGATGATTTCTTGTTCTGCAAGAAATTGACTTGTATGACCTAATGATAGATTTGTGTCCCCTTATTCTTTCACAAAGGGATTGTCCCTCTGTCCAATACAGAGGTAAACTTAATGGTTTTTAAAATAGCTTAGTAACAGACAATATGCACTTTTGGTAAGGATCCCTTGCAGAGTATGTCCAGGGTCATTTTCTTGGGGGAAAAAAATGTGTTTTCGGTCCCCTGCTGAAATATAGAAGGGTAATTTGGACAAGACTTAGAACAATGTGTTTCCTGTAGGTGGGCAGATGTGCAGATATTTCATATTCAGCTTTGGTGACTATAGTCCACTGCTGGATTCAAGTGGTTAAAATATATGAGCCAGGCACCCATGATCATGAGATCGACTTAAAAACACAGATTTTTAAAAATATAAATAAGTACGCATTATTTTATTTCACTTCTATTTTTAGACTTTTGGCTCATGTTTTTAAGATTTTCTCTATGTCCATGAGGTATAGAACCATGTTTAAAATGAAACCTGAGATTCTCCAGCAAATTGATTCCCACAGCCAGGGCACCAAATGTAAGGAAACTCATAACCTCAGAGTTGGCAGAAGTGCTCCTTCAAAAGGCAAAATGTAAACTAAAGAGAAAAAAAACAAATATTTTCTCTAACATCTCTCTGTGACAAAAATAGTATAGAAATGGTATGTTTATACATTTTCCGGTTGGAAATTGGATTTTTCAAGTTATTAGCATCACTTTTACAGAAGAAAGGGCACAGTGAGCTATTTTTCAGGGCCCAAATCTTTTAACTGAAAAAATACTCTACCTTCAAATATTTAAAATGCTTAAAACCACATGAAGCACTAGATGCCTGCAAAGTTGGAATTTTTTAAACAAGCCCATTGGCAGAGGTAATCTGAAAGCTAAAAAAATCTGAAAGCCTAGCCGGAGTGGGAAGGACTTAGCCCAGCTGCAGGGAGGCAGCTGAGAGGAGCTGAGGAGGGTCATGCCCCACCCCCACCTCCTACTTGGCCCAGCCCCTCAGGGAGCCATGCAACCAGTGCCACCCAGCCCATGAAGCAGGGAAAAGGGGAGGGACCCCCCCCAGGCCCCATGAGAGTGGTGTGGCACCAACAGGCCCTACTGAACATGCGTAGAGTTTAAAAGGGCGCACCAATGGCAGAAGCCATACTAGGCTTGTGGGTCCATTGAGCCCCAGGAGCCCCGACAACCCCCAGCCTAGCCAGAGGTAATTGAGGACCCATGGTGGGAGGGACTTAGCCCAGCTGCGCAGAGACAGCTGAGAGGAGCTGAGGAGGGTCACGCCCCCCTCTCCCCGGCTCCTACTTCACCCAGCCCCCCCAGGGAGCCACACGACTGGAGCCTCATGAACAGAATGCACAAACAGGTGTGATTCTAGGTCCGAGATGCAAGTTAGCGCGGGAGTTTGTGCAGGAGGGTGCACAGAGCCCCAGGCAGGGAGCCTCAAGGGAGCAGTTGGCACAGTGGTAGCCTAACTAGTACTGACACAATGGTGGGTGGGACACATCACACCCCAAGGTTCCCTCCTGTGGCTGAACCCCTGCCCCCCGGTACTTCCAAGGCCTCCACCCAGATGAAACCCATGATTCCAGCCTCCATTCAGATGGAGCCCCTGGCTCTCAGCTGCAGGAGCTGCCTGACAACTCCAGGCACATGAGATCTGGAGCATTGCAACCTTCCCTTGTGAGGTTTGCTCCATATTGGAGTCTCTGAAATCCTAGACAGTGGGCTCCAGACCACGGTGCAGAAGCTGCGTGCCATTAGGGATGGCAAACAGGAGATTGACTCCTCCTGCCAGGCCGTTCACCCCAGGACAGAAGAGTGACCTAGGTTGCCTTCCAAGACCAGGGAGGCCAAGAGGCACTCCCGTACTGTCCAGCCAAGGGGTTGGGGAAAAGTTGCCTCCAGCCCCAAGGCTCACTGTACCATGGTCACTGCCACCCTGGATCTCTGCAATAGGTATGAACCTCTTGCAGTACCAGTAGAGCCTGCAGAGCTGCCAGCTACTGCAAGGGACAAAGAAACACAGCCAGCTATCATCCCTAAGATGAAACACAGAGTTGTTGTTGTGGGTGACTCCCTTCTGAAGGGAACAGAGGGAGCAGTCTGTTACCTGACCCCTTAGCCCAGGAGGTCTGCTGCCTCCCGGGAACCTGTATATGGGATGTGGCTGAGAGGACCCCAAAGCTTATTTGGTCCTCCAACCACTACCCTATACTCCTTATCCATGTGGGCACAAATGACATGACTCAGAGCAATCTAAGCTCATTGGTGGATGGGCAGAAAGCCACCAGAGCAAGTTCACCAAGCATCAACCACAAAACCATCAGGTTAGGATGCTCAAGGGAACCCACTCCTACCCCAGCCCAGGAACAGAGCTTCTCCATGAGTACAAGGAAGCCTAGGGCTTCCAACGGCACATTTACGTGCCTGTGCACTAATGTTAGGAGTTTAGGGAATAAACAGGAGGAACTGGCCCTTCTGCTAAACAAAAATGACTACAATCCCATAGGGATCACAGAGACCTGGTAGGACAACTCCTATGACTGGAATACCAGTATAAATGGCTATACCCTGTACAGGAGAGATCATGCTGAAAAAAAGGGGCAGGGCTGTAGCTCTCTATGTGAAGGTGAGCTACACCACCCTACAAGCTGAGATTGGCACCCAAGGAGGATGACTGGAGACCCCTTGGGTTAGAATACGAGGGGAACATAGTGAGGGGGATACAATGGTAGGAGTCTACTACAGACCTCTAAACCAGGAACAAGGGCTTGACCATGAATTCACCAGGGAACTGGCCAAGGCTGCATGATCATCATGGGAGACTTCAACTACCTAGACATCTCATGGAATAAGCACTCGGCCAAATCCGATCAGTCACAAAGCTTCTTTACATGTGTGGATGAGCTCTACCTGTACCAAGGAATTTATGGACCGACAAGAGGCAAGGTGCTGCTGGACCTGATACTGGCCAAAGGGAATGATCTAATCAGTGACCTAAGAATCAAAGGGAAGCTGGATGACAGTGGTCATGAGTTGATCACTTTCACTATGCATCGCAAAGCTGACAAGTCAGACAGCAGTGCAGGAGTCCTTGACTTCAGGAAATCGGACTTTCATAAGCTCAGGAGGCTTGTTCTTGAGGCCCTGATTTCACAGGGAGGGGAGCTCAGGATGAGTGGTTGCTTCTTAAGGAAGCACAAGTGGAGTCCATCCCCACCCATAGGAAAGTTGGTAAAAGGGCTCAACACCCTCCTTCACTCAACAGGGAACTCATGGACCTCCTACATCTAAAAAGAGAGGCCTAGAATGGATGGAGGACAGGAAACACCACTAAGGAGGAGTATACCGCACTGATCCACACCTGCAGGAAGTGAACTAGAAAAGCTAAGGCTGCAACTGAACTCCATGTGGGTACATGAATCAAGGACAATAAAAAGTCCATCTTCAGATATATGGGGAGTCGAAAGAAAAACAAGGGCAACATTGGACCCCTGCTACACCAGCTGGGGCAGCTGACTACCAACACCCAGGAAAAAGACAACATGATTAATGATTCATTAATAAGCCAAATCTGAGCAGGCACAAAGCTTTCTTTTGTGCGTGGATGACCTCTATCTGATGCAGGAAGTCTACGGGCTGATGAGAGGTAAAGCGCTGTGCAACCTGGTACTAGCAACTGGGGACAACCTAATCAGTGACCAAATGATTAAAGGGAAGTTGGATGACAGTGACCACAAGCTGATCACCTTCACCATCCACCGTAAAGCTGGCAAGTCAGTCAGTAATACAGAAGTCCTCAACTTCAGGAAAGCTGACTTTGACAAGCCTCCTGAGCTTGTCAGCGAGGCCCGAAAGGGCCACAACCCAAAGGGGAGGGGAGTTCAGGATGAGTGGTTGCTCCTCAAGGGAGCAATCCTGGATGCACAAGCAAAGTTTATCCTGCCTCAGAGGCAGGGCAGCAAAAGGCCCCAGCAGCCCCCTTGGCTCTCCAAGGAACTAGCAGACCTCCTGTGTCTTAAAAGGAAGACCTACAAAAGGATGGAGGACTGGAACCACCACCAAGGAGGAATACTCTGCTCTGGTCCGTACCTGCAGAGGCAAGCCAAGGCTGCGATGGAACTCCAGCTAGCTATAAATATCAAGGACAATAAAAAGTCCCTTTTTAGATGCATGGGGAGCCAGAGGAAAAAATCAAGGGTAACATTGGACCCCTGCTAAACCAGATGGGACAACTGACAACCGATGCCCAGGAAAAAACAAACTTGCTAAATGGGTACTTTGCATCAGTTTCTCACCAGTCCCATGGAATGTCCCTGCCCACTGCAGGACAGGGAGGCCTGGGTGAGGGAGATTCCTTACCATCCATCAAAGCTGACCTTGTGAAGGAACACCTTGACAGGCTGGATACCTTCAAGTCAGCCAGCCCTGACAGTTTAAACCCAAGGGTACTTAAAGAGCTGGCAGGCATCATAGCTCAGCCCCCTGGCACAGATCTTTGAGAACTCCTGGTGCTCTGGTGAAGTGCCTGATGATTGGAAGAAAGCCAAAGTGGTGCTTATCTTCAAAAAAAGGGAGGAAAGTGGATCCAGCAAACTACAGGCCCATCAGCCTGACCTCTATTCTGGGGAAGATCTTGGAAAAGATAATCAAAATCAAAAAGGCCATCCTATACAGGCTAGCTGATGGCAATATCCTGAGGGATACCCAGCACGGGTTTGCTGCTGGTAGGTCTTGGTTGACAAATCTCATTTCCTTTTATGACCAGGTGACCTATCACCTGGACTAGGGAGAGGAGATTGATGTTGTATATCTTGACTTTAAAAAAAGCCTTTGATCTGGTATCCCATGATCACCTCTTGGCAAAACTGTCTAACTGTGACCTCGACCTCACAATCTGCTGGCTGGGGAATTGGCTCCGTGGCAGGACCCAGAGGGTGGTGGTTGATGGAAGTCAATCGTCCTAGCGCCCTGTGACCAATGGGGTCCCTCAAGGCTCTGTCCTAGGGCCTTTACTTTTTAACATCTTCATCAGTGATGTAAACATTGGTGTCAGAAGCGGGCTGGTCAAGTTCACTGACGGCGGATGAAAACCTGATGGCATTCAGTACGGAGAAATGCAAGGTGCTCTACCTTGGGAATAAAAACCCGCATCACACTTATAGGATCAGCAATGCTACACTTGCTAGCACCATGACTGAAAGATACTTGGGGGTCATGATTGACCACAAGATGAACATGAGCCTTCAGTGCGATGCTGCAGCTAGTAAAGCGAGCAAAATGGTGGCTTGCATCCCTAGATGCTTCTCAAGCAGATCCCGGGACATCATTCTCTCATTGTACTCGGCCTTGGTGAGGCCGCAGCTGGAGTACTGCATCCAGTTTTGGGCTCCACAATTCAAAAAGGATGTGGAGAAGCTTGAGAGAGTCCAGAGGAGAGCCACACACATGATCAGAGGTCAGGATAACAGATTTTATGATGAGAGGCTGAGAGCCATGGGACTCTTCAGCCTGGAAAAGTGCAGGTTCAGGGGCGATCTGGTGGCCACCTATAAGCTTGTCAGGGGTGCTCACCAGGATCTGGGGGAACGTCGGTTTACCAGAGCGCCCCAAGGGATGACAAGATCAAATGGTCACAAACTCCTCTGCGACCATTTCAGGCTGGACATAAGAAGAACTTCTTTACTGTCTGAGCCCCCAATGTTTGGAACAGACTGCCGCTGGAGGTGGTTCAAGCACCTACTTTGAATGCCTTCAAGACACTTTTGGATGTTTATCTTGTTGGGATCCTATGATCCCTGCTGACTTCCTGCCCCTGGGCAGGGGGCTGGACTCAATGATCCTCTGGGATCCCTTCCAGCCTGAATGTCTATGAAATAAAAATCTATGAAATATGAAGTTACTGTGTGTCAGTTTTTCACCAGCACAAAGGGACCACCCTGCCTAACATGATGCGGGATGACCAGGGTAAAGATGAATATATGCCCACCACTGGCATGGATCTTGTGAGGGAGCATCTTGAGAAGCTGGACTCCCATAAATCAGCTGTTCCGGATAGGTTGCAACCAGGTAAAGGAACTGGCAGACATCATAGTGCAGCCACTGGCAAGGATATACGAGAACTCATGGTCTTCAGGCAAAGTACCTGAAGATTGGAAGAGGGCCAATGTGGCGCCCATCTTCAAGAAAGGAAGGAAAGAAGACTCAGGAAACTGCAGGCCGATCAGTTTGACCTCAATCCCTGGGAAGATTTTGGAAAAAATTATCAAGAAAACCATTCTTGACAGGCTAACAGAAGGCAACATTCTGAGGGATAGCCAGCACAGGTTTGGTCATGCAAGACCTACCTGCAACAATCTCATTTTTTTCTATGACCAGGTGACATATCACCTGGACAAAAGGAAAGAGGTTGATGTCATATATTTGGACTTTAAAAAAGCCTTTGACCTGGTTCCCCATTATGTCCTCATGGAAAAATTGGGGAACTGTGGCCTTGACTACTCCACAGTCTGACGACTGGGGGACTGACTCCAAGGTTGGACCCAGAGAGTAGTAGTTGACGGGACCAAATCAACGTGTCACTTGGTGACTAGTGGTGTCCAAGGCTCTATTCTTGGACCTGTACTCTTTAAGTGTCTTCATAAATGATCCGGACACTGGTGTCAAAAGCAGGCTGGCCAAGTTCACTGAAGACACCAAACTTAGGGGAAGAGTCTCTACACTTGAGGATAGGCTGGTGATCTAGGCCGACCTTGATAGGCTTGCAAGGTGGGCGGATGAAAACCTGATGGCATTCAGTACGGAGAAATGCAAGGTGCTCTACCTTGGGAATAAAAACCCGCATCACACTTATAGGATCAGCAATGCTACACTTGCTAGCACCATGACTGAAAGATACTTGGGGGTCATGATTGACCACAAGATGAATATAAGCCACCAATGTGATACCGCAGCTGCCAAAGCAAACAAAACTCTGGCTTGCATCTACTGATGTATCTTGAACAAGACCCAGGATGTACCACTGTACTCAGCCCTGGTGAGGCCACAGCTGGAGTACTGCATCCAATTCTGGGCTCCACAGTTCAGGAAGGATGTGCAGAAGCTGGAAAGAGTCCAGAGGAGAGCCATGTGCATGATCAGAGGGCAAGAGAACAGGCCTTATGAAGAAAGGCTGCGAACCATGAGACTCCAGCCTGGAGAAGTGCAGGCTCAGGGGTGACTTGGTGGCAGCCTATAAGTACATAAGGGGTGTGCATCAGGATCTGGGGGAACACATATTCACCAGAGCACCTCAGGAGATGACAAGGTCCAGTGGTCACAAACTCCTGCAAGACCATTTTAGGCTGGACATAAGGAAAAACTTCTTTACTGTCCGATCCCCCAAGGCCTGGAACAAACTACCCCCAGAGGTGGTGCAAGCACCTGCTCTGGACACTTTCAAAAAACATTTGGACATTTATCTTGCTGGGATCCTTTGACCCTAGCTGACTTCTTGCCCCCTGGGCAGGGGGCTGGACCCTGTGATCTTACAAGGTCCCTTCCAGCTCTAATGTCTATGAAAAAGTATCTAGAGTCTATTTTAGCTGAAAGACAACTTAGGTTTCCTTCTTCATCCCAGAAAGTATTGAAATTAACCACCTGTAAACTAAGATAACCACTATGTTATCCTAAGATTCTATTTCTCTGAGACTCTAGAATTGGCACTGCCCAGAAGTGTTATCCCAATTCTCCTAGTACATTCTTTATTCTTTGTTATTCAGTGACTGAATCACTCTTCCCTTCCATCCATGCTCTTTTGAAACAGGGTGAAGAAGGGCTACGAGAAGTTTTGCAGATTTTGTATGATGAACTTCGTTTGTCAATGGCCCTGGCTGGTAAGATATTTTTCCATGATTGATTAGTATTTGGTGAGGAAAAGTTTTGCCACTTTTGCCTGAGTGAATGCACTAGATACTGTACATGCAAATAATGTAATGAGTTCTGTATCACTGGAAGCAAGGCTCCAGGCTAAAACAACATCCCCCTCACCCACCCCTGTTTCTTTTCATGTCAGCAGCCAGCTCAACAACCAACACAACTAGTACTTTGTAGTCTTCCTCCTGGTCTCACATATCTTCTTCTCAGGCTGCCAGGGATCCAGCTTCAAAGAGTGCCAGAGAACAGACTGTTTCCTATGTAGAGGTGGTTAGTGCATTATACTAGAACAGGGGTGGGGCAAATACAGCCTGCAGGCTGAATTCAGCCTGCCAAGTGACTATCTAGCCTGTGGCAGGGGCCCTAGCTCCGCTTAGGCTGGGGGCGTAATTCCGCCCTGCAAAGTGACTATCTAGCCTGTGGCAGGTCCCTTAGCTCTGCTTAGTCAAAGGATGGGGGGACAGCATGTGCAGCCAGTCCTGCAACCCCTGGGCATGAAGATGCCACCTGGCATGGAACGCAGCCCACTATCTCCTCATGCAGCTCTTGGTGAAAGCTGTAGTCCATGGGGCCAGGCAGCATAGCAGTGGGGTGGGGGTGGTGCAGTGGCTTCCTGGCAACCCCCACAGCAGTGACTTCTTCCGGCTGCCACTACCAGCATCTCCACCATCTCCACTGGACCCAGCTCTGCTGCCTGGGCACCCCGGCCTGTTCTCCTCACACCCACCACTAGGGGCACCAGACAGTGTGGACGGATGGTTAAGGTCTTCCTGGAGACCAGCCCAAGAACCCTGCAGGGAGGGTGCATTTGGCCAGATGGATGGAATGGGGCCACAGGCAGGTGGGAAGCAGTGTCTGGGAGTGGGACAGGCAGGTGGGGCTGGGATCATGGGGTGGTAACCGTGTGAGGCTGGGACCCAAGGCAGCACCACAATTCACTCTTTGCATGTCCTTGCAATGTTGCTGCCCATGGAACCAGCACCCATCATGGAGACATGCAAGGAGCAGATTGTCAGTCTGCCCTGGACCCCAGACCCATGCTATCACCTCCCCATGATCCCAGCCCTGGCCCCACCTGCCTTTCCTGTTCCTAGACTCTGCCTGCCCATGGCCCCATCCCATCTGCCTGGCCCAGTGCATCCTGCCTGCAGGGGTCCTGGGCAGGTCTCCATGGAGACTCTGCCTGCCTACCTGGCTCTGTCTGGCACCCCTCGTGGTGGGTATGGGGCAGACCAGCCTGAATAGGATCAATTGGCATCTTTCTGCCTCACCTCCCTTCTCCCCACCCCCCCACCCCTCACCCAGCTTAGCTTCACAATGGCTGTGACAAGGAGCTGAGGCTGGCCCTAAACTCTTCACCAAAATTCCTTAAGTAGCAATGCAGCCCAAATAATTGTCTACCCCTATACTAGAATATCAGAAAGACCCAGGTTAAGACCCCCATGGGGGAAAGGAATCTAAAACCTGGATGTTCCACCTCACAGCTGAATTCCCTAGCCCCTCAGCTCTGGGGCTAAAACATTGGAGGCCTGCCTCCTGCTCCAGAGTCTGACACCTGTTAACTGTGCATTTTGGACTGACTATATATTGAGGCCTTAGCTACTGTTATACATTCACAAGAGAAGCACACACAGCTGTTGACCCGATTTTAAGACTCAGCAGCAGATACTCAATTGTGGGCAGAGTGCAACACCAATCACAACATATCCTATTGATAACTTGGAGACCTTTATTGATACACAGTAGCAGCATATGACAATTAGCAAGCAAGCAAAAGCTCTCACCATACACTGTGCCCCAGGGATGCGCACAGGAAGATGGAGTGATCATCTTCTGTGGGTGTCTTGCTTTAAGTTTGTGGTGATCTCACTTGGAGGAAGTTGCTGAGTGATGCACACATTCTTTGTTCCTCTCCAGTGTTATAACCAGGGATCTGGGTTTTCATTCCCCATGGAAAAACGGAGAAAATCACGGATTTCCCAGTTTAACTGGAGAAAATGTGGATTTTCCCTTTTAGCAGGGAAACCTACAGATTTCCCCCTTTTGCAAAGAGCTCTGCAGGCTGACTGAGTTCCAGCTTGCAAGAACTGTTGGCAAAAGGGCGGGAAAGCCCCAGCCCTGCCCAGAGGGGTAGGGATCAGGGGAAGGAAAGGGTGAGACCCAATGCAATCACTTACCAGAGGCTGCCACAGGAACAGGAGCAGTTTTCTTCATTCCTGGAGATAAGTGGGGCTGGGGGAGGGTCAGGGGGAAGCTGGCTGGGGGTGAGGGAACAAGGATGTGTTGGAGGAAGACATGGAGTGCCTGCCAGCTGGCACACATTTCTGGTGGGGCTTTCCCCAACATTTTCCCCTCCCTCAGCTCAGGCAGGTGGGTGGGCAGGTGGGGAGGAACAGAGTGCAGGAGGAAGGGGAATGTAGCAGTGCAGGTAAAAGTGGAGAGGTACCTGGGGAGTCAGATCTCTGGCAGGTTGTAGTGTGTCAGAATTCCAATGTCTATATTGAGTCCATGAGTTTCTGTACCTAGGAGGCTAATGAAGTGAAGTTCATAGGCCCAGGTATGAAAAGTCAGTCAGAGGAGAACTCCAGCTGGTCCTGGTCACCCACACTGAGCTTGAACTGGCTTATTCAGCTACACAACAAACACCAGGGCAGGGGGAGTGGACCACAGGACTTACCACACAAGAGCAAAAACACACAGGGAAGGCTGCTGAGGCAGATGTAGAAAATTGCTAGAGTGGTGGAGGGGCTTTGTTTGTTGAAGATCAGTCCAGGAGCCCCTCAGGCCTCCAGCCAGGTACTCAGCAGCAGAGCTATAGGCAGGAAAACAAAGCAGAATCAGATGCAGCGAGGCATCTGTGGGGGACTTGAGGAGCAATGAGTCAATTAAGGAAGTAATCCAGTGCAGGTGTGGTGCTGAGTGATGCAAAGTGGTGCAGCAGGGAGTCTCCCTTTGTCCTGAGAGGGGGCAGCAGCAGAACAGGTGGTAGCAACAGCAGCAGCTGTGGTAGTAGCTGTCCAGTTCAGCCACTCAGGGTGTGCTTCAAGTGCAAGTGGAGGTAAAAGTGGGGGGTGGACTGCCAAGGCAGCTGGGGCAGGCAAGTCACCTTTAGGCTCCGGCAGTGATATTGGGGGAGGGCCTCACAGACAGTGCAGGCTCCCTCCCCAGGCTGCAACTTGGTGGGCTAGACAGCAGGCCGGAACAGGGGTGCAGAAGCTGGAGTGCAGTGCAGTGTGGTGGGCCCCTCCCTGAGGGGGGGCAGCAGCAAACAGCAGAGGACCCCCCCATAGGGGGGGAAGCAACAGCAGCCAAAGCAGCCCAAGACAGGAAGGGGTGCAGCCAACTAACCCCCAAAAGCTCTGAAAACAAGCTAGCAGTAGTGAGAGGCAGGATGGGGCCTGGCCATCCTCTCCCCAGAAGCTCCTAAGACCAAGCTTGCAGCAGCAGCAACAGCCTGGGACTGGAAGGGGTGTGGCCAACTTCCTCCCAGAGGCTCATCTCTGAGAAGCTCCTGAGGGCAAGTAGCCCTAAACTACTTTTTAGCCATAAACTACTGGTGTTGGCCCCAGCCTCTAGCTCCCCCTGGCTGAAGATCCAGAAGAAGCTGAGCAGTTATTGTGCCCTAAGTGGCACAATTTGCCCCACTCCAAAGTGCATGTTCAGGTATGTGTGCTGAGGCACAAATCTCTGGCACAAATTTGTAACACTGCTACTTGAGCTGCTGCAAGCACACATCCCTGCATGTGTGGATGAACCCTCTCAGGGGAAGATGCCTCAGGAGAGTCATAGAATTTGAAACTAGGGCATACAACCAAGGATGAGTGCAAGGAAAAGTTCTAGAACTCAGGTATATAAATCAGAATCAGGCTGGGATTCAAAAAGCTACAAAAGGAAACGATAAATTATTCTATTAAAATGCCAGAGGTATTATGAATGAGACCAAATCTGCAGGTGATACTAATGTGTGGCAATTACAAGAACTCTAGGTAAGTGGTACGAGGATGCAAAAATATTTTGGCCCTAGGAGATTCAAACCCACATTCCACATCTCCCAAGAGAATGGCCAGGCTACAGACAATGCTGCTATAGAGGCACTCCCCATACTCCTGTTGAATCTGAGCCACTATATGGCAAAGACTGCAAGACTCATGGGTTCATATGCATTTTACATGAAGGAGTCAATGGATAAATGCATTAATAAAGTTGGGACTGCTTTATGGATATCATGGCCTTGGAAGGTAGTCTCCCTTTAGAAGAGGCACCATTCAATTGCTGTTGTAATCTAATGGAAGTCTTCTCAATTACATTAGCAGGAATTGGATCAAGCCCAATGTCTGCACTTAAATTTAGGTCCAACTTTGGTCAAGAGGAATTTTACCCTTGTGTAAAGCTATTCACTATGTCAGCTAACAGTCATACTCTAAATTGGGAGAATGGGATTCTTCTAGAGATATGCTTTTCTTTAGATTAGAAGTTGTAATTGGGTTGCCTTGAACTAGCTACAATAATAAGTTATTGTGGCCTTTGTTTGAGAAGTTCTCAATTTTACTGGACTCAGAATTATTAATTTCCTCATGGGCTTTTCAAGGCACTCATCACAGCAGCAACTGAATGTTTCAAAGTTATGAATGAATGCATCTTCACACCTTCCCTGTGAGAGAATCTGACTTTTCAAGCTTAACATTTTCTCAGAAAAGGGCTTTGGCATATAAAGTAACTTTAGAAACCTTTTTACCTGTAAGCCCCAACCTGATAGATGCTATATATTTGCTTAAGAAAGGATATTCCCTGCTCCAGAGCACATAGAAGACAATTTAAAACAAGAACTTTATTATTCTCATTCTATAGAGGAAAGACAGGAACATAGGAGCCTAGATCCTTGACAGTACTAATGCACATACCTGCTTCTCTAGGTGCATGCACCAATCTGCCAACCCACTGTTCAGCTGCAGCTTAATTCCACAGGCACCATGCACATGAGTGATGCCTTCGATCAAGCCAAAGATCTGTCAGCCCTGAAGAATGGTTCTTCTGCATATCTTAAAGTAGGCATGCTTATCCTGGAATACTCTAGCAGTAAGACCACTTGTCTAGAATGAGGGTAGCCAGGGCTCTCACACAGACTGCAGCAGAGACTTAGACCTCAGCCCACCCTTGTATGGGGAGTGCTTTGACCTCTAGGCTGCAGGGTGTTTCTAAGATGGGACCCCCTCATCCGCATTTTCAGAGGTGTAACTTTGAATAAAGAACCAAGTAGTTAATGGTTCAGGGAGAAGGAGGCTGATACTTTTACCTAGTGGTTGGAGCTCAGTGTGGAAGAATGAGAAGCCATTCCCTGCCCCAAAGAATGCCTCATTAGTTCTACTACGTGGAACAGCCCCAACAGGAATGACCCAAACTGAATGCCCAAGACCCTGATAATTAGGGCTATTCCCTGAGATGAGAGTCAGAAGTGTGATGATTTGAACCTAAAAATCACCACCAAAATTCAGGGAGGAATCAGATCACTTGGATAACTAAGCAGGAAGTGGACATGGCCTCCCTCTCTTTTCACAGATGAAAGCTAGGCACTTAGTTCCAGGAGCACACACAGAGCTGAGGAACCCAGAAAGGAGTGCTTGTTTTTGTCTAGGTCAGCTGCTTTGTCATGGAAGCTCTGCCCTTCTCTCTGCATTTCTTGCCTGGCTTGACTTGGAAGCTCCATATTCTGCTGGTTTCTGAAGGTCCATTTCCTTAGGCATCTGACTGTTCCTATAAGCTTTATAGGGAGCCTGCGTACCTCACTACGTGCACTCCACTAAGCATTGAGTATTGCAACACTTAAGCAGCCTTTTGAGACTTGAGATTTGGTGACTTACATGGGATCACACTGTGGGCACAGACAGAAGTTACATTTGTTATGCGATCAGCCCCCTGAAAGTGCTCTACAGCCATGCCATGACACATGTGCATAGCTGCACAGTGCTTGAAGAGTGGTTGATCATGTGAAAAATTAACCCTCATCAAGTAAGGGATCAGATGAAGGTACTCCCCTTAGAAGTTCCCTAAGGTGCTTCAGTTCCCTAGGGTCAATCTGTCATGTGATCTGGGTTGACCCAGCCCCACCCCCACTGCTGTCTGCAGGAAAGGAGGGGGCAAAGGAGAGGGGGAGCAAGCCATGGCCTGGGGTTTGTCCAGCCTGAGCTGGAAGGGGGTCAGATGGATTGGAGACCCCCACCTCACAACCCTCCCCAGCCTGCTCCCTCCAGCTCATGCTGGTCAACCCCAGCCCTCAGCTTATCCCCTCACCCTTCTGCCCCCTCCCTTCCTGCAGGTTGCACCAGAGCTTGGAGTGGGGAGGCAGAGTTGGAGAAGAGAGACTGCAGGCAGACTCCTCAGGCTCTAAAGTGGAACTCAATTCCCACCCTCACCCTCCCAACCCAACAGACAAATGTTTGTTGTGTTAGGGCAGGGGTCAGCAACCCATGGCACATATGCCATTTTGCTCAGCACACTACTGCCAGCCCAGGCTCTAAGCAGCTGCTGCCAGCCATGGAGCCCCGGCTGCTCCCAGCAGGCAGCTGGGAGGCTGCAAGCAGACTGGGCCCTATGGGCTGGCTGCATCCGGGAAGCTATAAAACAGCTGCTCTGGCATGTCAGCACTCTGGCACCTTCCAACGTAGACATTGTGGGTTTTTTGACACTCCGGCCAAAAAACATTGCCTACCCCTGTGTTAGGGAGTGCTCTAACTCATAGTGCTTTATGTAAAATGGGGGCCTGCATGTCTCTCAGCGCCCTGTAAGTTTGCAGCACAGTGAGAAACACAACCAGGTCTCAGCCTGGCACCTTAACTACAAACCATCCTACACCTCAATAAAGAGTTTCAATCCTGTGGTTTTTTTTCCAGGCTGTCACAATGTCACAGAAATTGGCCGACACCTTGTCCAGTTCTCCAAGCTGTAGAGAGCTTTCTGCATTCCCCAGTGTGCAAACACAGAAGCAATGCTTGTTGACTATCAAGGGCTGGTACATATTCAGAGAGAAAAGGCAGGACAAAGGGAATGCACACATATCAGAAGTCTGCTAAAGCATATAGACAAATGTAGCATCAAGAAAAAACTCTAACACTACGTGGTGGAGACATGGAAGGCACCATATCAGCAAAGATCACTCTAAACCTATCATGTGAAGCAATTAACTTCTTCTGCACTGCAGCAAATTGCTATTTGCTTATGTTCATATGTATTTACCTGTGAATAGTCAGATCCCCAAGTGTTGCCTTTTATTCCCCAGCTTCATCCTGCTTGACTGCAAATGCAGGGGGAGCACGTCTAGCCTCACCTCCTCAGTCTGTTCTGTTATTTAGCATCCTTTCATTGGACACAACAGTCAAGACCTCACTTCTTCCCAAAAACCTGATTTCTCCCATGCACACTTACAGCTGTGCAACCATCTCACTGTCCCCCTGAAAGTTATTCTGGCTGTCCTTTCAGCTATTGATGACCCACTCCCTTACCAAATAGAAACAAAAAAACAAGCAATCAGCATGGTACACACATAACCAAACTCAGAACACCTGTCATTCAAGCTCTTGCTCCTCTATACCTTACTCTATGCAGAATCCTCTCATTAGTGGTCAAGCTTGGACTGTAAGCTCTTCTGTGGTCAGGCCCTGCTTTGTGAAGTGCTATGGCACTGTATAAATGGCTGCAGTCTCCTCAGTAATGGGCCAGCATAGGCATATGGTCATCCTAGAGTGGCCTGAGCTCAGTTTAATAATAGGAGAACATGCATTTATTGTTGGCATAGTCTTCAGAGGCAGCTCCCATTCCGCTGCCTGTACTAATAGTTCCCATCTCTCCTTGGAGCAAAGATGATATGCTCAGATTCCTTCTCAAGTTCCTGCTGCAGACAAGAGGGCTTCATGCTGGGATCAAGCCCCAGGGCTCCGAGCTGTGCCCTCACAGTCCTGTGCACAAGGGATTGGACCACCCCCACCTGGTGCCACATGCTGAGATCAGGCTCCAGTACCCCATACTACCCCTGCCCAGCCTTGCACCATCCTGCATGCCCAATCTAGCATGCAGGGCCATGGGTCTATAGGGAGCTCCACAGACCAGATGATGGTGCTGGATGCCTTGGCTTGTGGGCCAGGAGTACACCACCACTGTTTTAGGCTGTAGGCATGTTCAATGACCAACAGACCACATTGACTGGTACAAACTCCAGACCTAGCAAAAGCATGAGTCATGAATAATATATGCTTAAGCTATATGATCAATAATGTTGCATTTAAGTCACAAGCAGTTGCCTTGTAAAGTGGAATAAGAATCTGTTTAATCAAAGCCACTAATATTAGATTAAGCCAAGAATGGGTAACTGCTTTGTGAAGCACTTAACAGCAGCTAAAAGAAACAACAGATGTTTTGCCTTTTGATAATAGAATTAGGTTGTATGTAGTCTGCTGGAATCCTGCTAAAATATTAATGCATTTTGTTAACCTGTTGTCAGCCATGGCCATTTACAAGTGACTTATGCTAAGTTGCAGAAGTGTGGCTAAGATAGGCCACAAAGCTTGTTTTAGAGTAAACCTGCACAGATGTTACAACTAGCCTACTCAGAAAAGAAAGAGAAATGGACTATAGCAAGTAGCTTTCCCAGCTGGTAAGGAAAAGAAAAAAAAATCCTCTCCCTCAGGATTGTAATTTTCACAAGAACACAGCCTCAGCTGATTATCATCTTCCAAGTCCACAGAAAAGCTGGTTCAGTAAAGTTCCCAAAGCCTCAGCAAAACAAACAAAAGAACAACACCAATCAGAAAATATTTATTAAAATAAAACACAAAAATATTGGGTGGAGAAAAGGAAGTATTTTGGGAAGACCTCATGTAGCAGGCTTGTGGGTCAGCCCCCAGAACATGGTGATCCCTGGGTCCCATCTTTGAGCTTCTCTGCCCACACACAATCAGAGAGCAGAGCATAGTCAGTCTTTATGCTCCCTTTGGGAGATGCTTCCCCTTGAGGCCTGAGGTGCCTCAAAAGCACTTGTTGGGGCTTCAGCCATCCTGGCATTGGCATAGGTTTCTCTGGCCAAGCCCACAACCCTGGTCCATTGCCTCAGATCTCAGCTCCTGGGCTTCAGCCCTAGTCCACCTCTCTCAGTAGTCAGGCCTTGGACTTCTTGGCCCTAGCTTGGCTCACTCCCCATGTCCCTTGGCAGGGCTTGACACCCAGGGTGTCCCAGGCACCCTGTTATGTGGATTCCAATCCACCCTTTTGCCACAACTTGGTCCTCTGATTTTAACTCAAATATAGACGTTAGGGTGACAATATTTGGATCTTGGGGAGCACTGGATTAGCAGCTGAATAAAGGCTTTAATCTGTGGCTCAGCAGAGCTGCTGACCACAAGGCAGAATGATATATTAAAAGTAATATTGCAAGATGCTTAGGCAAGCAGTTTCCTAACAATGTGGTAGTGTGTAGGATATATGGTGTAAGGAGAACAGGATGCAGCCCACCAGCTATCGTCAGGAGATAAAGCAGAAGCAAGACCTTGAAGATGAAGAAGGAGTCAGCAAGAAACAGCAATTGACCACAAAAAAAAAAAAAAGCCAGGTTCACGGTCTTACACATGCCCTCATAGCAAAAAGGCATGTAAATGAATGAAATGCACAGGCAATTCTATGCTAATGAAACAAATAGTAAACAGAGGCAGAGCTTGAGATAAAAGGGAATATGGGAGGGACAGAGGTGGAGTAAGTGTTAATGAGCATGAACCAAGGAGTATAAACGTGGGGAAAAAAAAATAATGTTCACTGCAGGTCCCCAGTTTGTTGGATCTTTGCCCGAAGTCGTCTCCATTCTGAATGAAGCTGTTGCAAGCAATGTGTGCTGGTGTTTGCTCCGTTTGCTCCCTGAGCAACTGGATAGTTGTCTCCCTAGTTGTTGGGCACCACATGGAGTCGGGTTCTAACAGTAGAACCCTATTGGTCTCTATTCCTTAAGCCCTCCTGCCTCGGTAGACTTGTCTCTACACCCCCAGCTCACCACATACCATACCTGGGCCAGGCTGGCTCCAAAATGCCATCAGTCCCACTTAGAGCTCCTTGTCATGTGACAGCCAGAGTCAGACTGCCCTTTCTGTGCTCAGAGCCTGGGCTTTTATGCCCCAAGTCTGGTTCCCTTCTAGTCATGTGCCCCAGTTCTCTGTTCCCAGGGCCCAGGTACTGCTAATCCTGTCAGCAGCAGCTTGGCCTCCTGCAACCAATGGCTCAATTCATGCAGGCAGCTCACACCTGCCTCTCCTTGCCATCAGGCTTTCTGCAACCTGCCCTGGCTTTTAGTAACAGGGGTAGGTGATGCTGATGTTACATGTCAGCAAAATCAAAACACCCTGCTGTCAGCTTGCATGCCACCTTTCTCCTCTCTTTTGTCTCCCCCCACAACCAGGACAAATTAGAATCTTTATTGTGCTGTTGCAGGTAGCTAGATAGGCATAAAGACAAATGCTTGTTCTTATGATTTGGAGTGTAATCAATAAAAGTTTGGGTTATAGACTTATCTCTTGTCTCTTTATCTGGCTTGGTTGTTAGTAATACCTTACCTGCTAAGAGGGAATAGAGGATCATTGGGAAGTAAAATTGTATCTTGATATTTTTTTTTGTTTAAAGGGTAATCATTAAGGGAACTGTAACTGTCTGTGAATTCTGTGTCTAAACTTGCAAAGAGCTCTTGATCATAGACAGGCCATGGTTTGGTCTCTTGAAACAATGTGGACCCAATGGGCAAGTCCAGACGAGCCCACACTTGCCTCCTGCCCCGCCTCAAACCCCTTTGAGGCGGGGCAACAGGCACGTGGGGGAACAAAAAAATGTTCCCCACACTGCAAGTTTGCAGCGCAAGGAGAAAATTAGACCCCTGGTCTAAAGAAAGTGAAGTATAAAAAAGCGGGGCAGGGCATGGCCCCTGAATGTGCCCTGAGGCAACCAGAGGCTGATTTCCTCTGGCTGCCAGAGCATCTCTATGGTTGCCCTTTTCCCTGGTGCTGAAACACAGGGCTGGCCAGACCGCATGTTTCAGCACCAGGGCTCCAGTGCCGGTGAGTAAGGGGTGGGGGGGCTGGGAGAGGGGGTAAAAGACTGTGGGGGGGGACCCCCAATGGCTCCGCCCACTCC